CCCAAACCCCCAATCCCAACCCCCAATCCCAAACCCCCAATCCCAAATCCAGCAATCCCAATCCCCCAACCCCCAATCCCCAATGCCAATTCCAATGCCAATCCCAATCCCAATCCCAATGCCAATCCCAATCCGAACCTCGTTGCGCAGGTGCCGGTGCCGGGGCTCGGGCTGGATGTGGAGCTGGTTCCCGTCCAGGCACATGGGGAAGAATCCGTAGAACTTCACCATGGACTCGGCCGCCCGCTGCGGGATCTCCAGGTACGCCTGCCACAAACCCCCCAATCCCAAAATGCACCCCAAAAACCCCACCGCGTCCCCCGCAATCCCAAAGGATCCCACGGCAATCCTCGGGAAAAAAATCCCCGAGGAATTCCCAAAGGGTTCGCCCAACGTCTCCCCCCGAAAGCGGCGAAAATGTCGCGCAAAATTCCCAAATTTACACGATAAAAATATCCAAAAAAATTTCAAAAATGGCCCCAAAAATCCCCCTAAAATATCCCCTAAAATCCCCCCCAAAAAACCCCCTAAAATCCCCCCAAAAATTCCAAAATTCCCCAAGCTGCCCCTGCCCCATTCCTGGTATGTTTTTTGGGAGGAGAGCAGCAGCAGGTCCTGCAGGCCCCTGAAGGGCTTGGTGAAATCACCCAAAAATCCCAAAAAATTTCCCAAAAATCCCCAAAAAATCCCCCAAGAAAATCCCAAAATCCCCAATAAAATCCCCAAAATCCCCAAAAATTCCCAAATCCACAAATCCCCCGATTATTTTACCTTTTTGTGGGAGGAGAGCAGCAGCAGGTCGTGCAGGCCGCTGAAGGGCTTGGTGAAATCCCCAAAAAAATCCCCAAAAATCCCCAAAAAATCCCCAAAAATCCCCAAAAAATCCCCAAAAATCCCCAAAAATCCCCAAAAATCCCCAAAAATCCCCAAAAAATCCCCAAAAATCCCCAAAAATCCCCCAAAAATCTCCAAAAAATCCCCAAACGCCCCAAGCCCCCGATTGTTTTACCTTTTTGTGTGAAGAGAGCAGCAGCAGGTCGTGCAGACCGCTGAAGGGCTTGGTGAAATCCCCAAAAAATCCCCCAAAAATCCTCAAAAAATCCCCAAAAATCCCCAAAATCCCCCAAAAATCCCCAAAAAATCCCCAAATCCCCAAAGCCCCTGCTCCTGGTACCTTTTTGTGGGAGGAGAGCAGCAGCAGGTCGTGCAGGCCGCCGAAGGGCCGGGCCAGGTTGTGGAGCTCGTCCTGCCCGCAGCCCTTGGGCGGCAGGTTGGACACGAGCAGCACAGAGCAGGGCTCGGGGAGAGCGTCCTGAGCCAGAGCCTGAGACAGAGACAGAGCCTGAGACAGAGCCTGAGCCCAAATCCTGACCCAAATCCTGACCCAAATCCTGATCCAAACCCTGATCCAAACCCTGAGCCCAAATNTGAGACAGAGCCTGAGCCCAAATCCTGACCCAAATCCTGACCCAAATCCTGATCCAAACCCTGATCCAAACCCTGAGCCCAAATCCTGATCCAAACCCTGAGACAGAGCCTGAGCCTGAGCCCAAATCCTGATCCAAACCCTGAGCCCAAATCCTGACCCAAACCCTGATCCCAAATCCTGATCCAAACCCTGATCCAAACCCTGATCCAAACCCTGATCCAAACCCTGATCCAAACCCTGATCCAAACCCTGATCCCAAATCCTGATCCAAACCCTGATCCAAACCCTGATCCAAACCCTGAGACAGAGCCTGAGCCTGAGACAGAGCCTGAGCCCAAATCCTGATCCAAACCCTGATCCAAACCCTGATCCAAACCCTGATCCCAAATCCTGATCCAAACCCTGATCCCAAATCCTGATCCAAACCCTGATCCCAAATCCTGATCCAAACCCTGAGCCCAAATCCTGATCCAAACCCTGAGACAGAGCCCAAACCCTGATCCCAAACCCTGAGCCCAAATCCTGATCCAAACCCTGATCCCAAACCCTGATCCCAAACCCTGAGCCCAAATCCTGATCCAAA